AGCCATACTGACACTAAAAGGAAGCGAACTTGTGTACACCACGACTCTAAATCTTGTAAAGAGTATTGATCTTTCATCAAATAATTCACCATGTGAAAACCCTGAAGAAATAAGCAGCCTTATTCTATTAGGCATCTTGATTTGTCCATGAATCAATTGACTGGAAAGATCCCCTTCAAGATCGGAAACTTGCGTTGGCTCAAAACTCTTGATCTCTCACACAACCACCTGACGGGACAGATTCCTCAAAACTTGTCATCTTTAACCTCTTTGTCCCACTTGAACTTGTCTTACAACAACTTGTCCGGAATAATTCCTTGGGGACACGAGCTTCAAACGCTTAATTTTCCATCCATTTATATGAAAATCCATCACTATGTGGTGTTCCTCTTTCAACTAAGTGCCCCGAAGATAAAACTTTTACTGATGAGGATGCAAAAGACAAGAAAGAAGATGAAAATGACAAGTTGTGGTTCTATGTCAGCTTGGTACTTGGATTTATCGTAGGTTTTTGGGGCGTATGCGGCACATTGATCTTAAAGACATCATGGAGGTATGCCTATTTTCAATTCTTCGACAACATCAAATATAAGATAACACTAGCAGCTGCATTGAAAGTGACTTGTTTTCAAAGGTTTTTTTTTCTGAAGTTTGATTATAATATATAAGAGATGATGTGTTTCCCTTTCTTCTTTTGTGTTTTTGGTACTTGCAACTTATGTATTGAATAAAAGAATTTTATCTCTCAATAAATATTCTCACAAACAATTATGTATTAAGATCTACATTCCGCTCCTTTTCTTCGCATTATTTAGAGGCTATGAGTTTCCATTTGTGCTATTTCATTTCAGATGGGATTCATTGCAAACTAGGGATCAAACCTAAGTAAAAGAGTAGCTGCGTTCGATCTCTTTGCTTGTGATACAAAATACTGATTAACAAAACATGTGTTGATGTGCATCTACGAAGAGGGGAGGGAGAAAGGGGAGGCTGGAAGATGGGAAATTTTTTTTCTATTTCCATTTTCCTTCAAGTTCTCTTTTATAATTTTTTTTTTTCTTTTTCTATTTATTCCTTCAACTGAAGAAATAAATATAGATAATGTAGCTTAAATTGTACTGGAAAGGGAAAATACTACCTCAACCAATATTCCACGCGACTTCTCACCTTGTATGATTGAAACCCTCTGAACACTGTAAAAGAATATGCAGAACAAAAAAGTTGTGCAGAACAAGGACTAACAGCGTGAAAAAGTTGGTCCAACATTACTTATAAATGAAGTTTAGGAAAACTGAACGACGAGCTGTAAACGAGAGTAAACCAGACAAATCAAAAACATATTCGACAAAGAAAAAAAAAAAATCTTACTTCAGATTACACACCCTCAACAACACAGGGTGCGATATATTTATAACAACTTCAGATTACATCAGGATTACAAACATATTTACGAAAAACAAATAAATGGAACATAAAAGCTTATCAGATAAGTTATATCAGAATAAGTTTCTATTGCACGCAGTCCCTCTCAGTAGCTAAAGTAGAGATCACATAAAGCTAGAAAGAGCAAAATGATAACCTGTTAGCCTTAATATGTAATTTTACCTAAGGAATAAGTAAAAAAGGACTCGTTTGGTCAATTCAAAAGAGCAACATGTTGTGCCTTGGCCAGTTCGTTAGTGCGGAAATGAGATTCAGATTACAACCTCACCAAATCACACTCAGTTGAACAGAATAAAATACAAGAAATAAAGACACCGATAAATTTACGAGGTTAAGCAAAAACATGTTTACATCCCCGGAGAGATATTGTTCTTTACTATGAATAACAGTACAAGTACACATGAGTTAAATCAACATAACTCAATCTTGAATCCCTTGCACACCCACTCATAGAATTTTCCCAAGAGCCTCACTCTACCCCAAGAGTTCTTTCACTAGAATAATTTCACTCTAGCTCTCTTGATTTTCCTTCAACCCATGTTCAACCTTTCTCGTGGGAGAGCCGGATGCTTTCCCCTTGGATGCTTCTATGATGCTTACCTTCCTACTTTCTAAGCATTACTAAATGCACAAATATTGCATCTAGTTATATGCATACACTAGCAACTATGCCAACAACCAAGACCAAAAAGTCTTAAGTTCACATGACATAATCATCACCTAACCTACCTAGCATGCACCAAAGTCTATACCTAGTCTATAAAGTATAACTTTGCTTATGGTAGTTACCATGTCTTCAATTGTTGTCAACACATGACTCATAATTACTCACAAATGTATGAGCCAAACACAACAATCTCCACCTTGGCGAATACACCATGCAAAAATCCTTGCACCTGTCACCAAAGCCCATTGGCCTTACGTACCAACATACACACCCTGAATCCACCTCGTTGATCCTGTTCCGATTCAGTCACTGCCAATGCATGTGCAGCTGCTGCAAGCTAAAAATCACCATTTAGCTTCAGACAGGATCTCGACACATCCTCGTCTCCTTCAACAGGTTTCCTCCTCTTCATTGTCTGCAACCTAGAAACTCGTCAGCGCGCCCGTTTCCAGTAACAACCCATCGAGCCAGACAAAATTCCCATACTTCCTCCTACCTCAGGACCATCTCATCACCTGTGAATCCCATAGCTCCACTTGTTGCAAAACCCCTACAACACTTGAGACTAAACATCATCAGGAGAAGTGATGCTTCGAGTACCTAGAAGGCAAACTCAAAGCCTTATGCCACAAACTTGCTACAACACGGCCTTGCATCGTAGCACTGTGGACCCTTGCCTCTGGAACCGGATCTGAACCTGTTGTCTCTCTCAGATCCTCTTTCCATTTTTCTTCCACGACTCCAACCTTGAATAGCTTAAGCAGTCTCGTGCCTACCATCATCCATGGTCATCTTCTTTTGTGTATCATTCCACACCAAAGAAGCTTGCACCTGCTCCAAACTTATTGTATCTTTCCATGCAGTAAAGTTTCACAAGGTTCTCGTACAAATCTGAAAGTGAGGTAAGAAGAAAAAGGCCTTTGTCTTCTTCCTCAACATCAACTTTCGCAGTTGATCCAAGCATCCCTGAGCATGTCTTTCATTTCTTCGGGCTTCATTACTCTCATCTGCCAAGAGTAAAACAGCCACTCCCATTAAACTGCTCAACTGAAAATTCCATGGTGAATAAATCTAGACCTCCAACGATGCTCTGATACCAATTGTTGTGCCTTGGCCCGTTCATTAGTGCGGAAACGAGATTCAGATTACAACCTCATCAAATCACACTCAATTGAACAGAATAAAATACAAGAAATAAAGACACCAAGAAATTTACAAGGTTCGGCAAAAACATGCCTACGTCCCCGGAGAGATATTGTTCTTCACTATGAATAACAGTACAAGTACACATGAGTTAAATCAACATAACTCAATCCCGAATCCCTTGCACACCCACTCATAGAATTTTCCCAAGAGTCTCACTCTACCCCAAAAGTTCTTTCACTAGAATACTTTTCATTCTAACTCTCTTGATTTTCTCTCAACCCATGTTCAACCTTTCCCATGGGAGAGCCGGATGCTCTTCCCTTGGATGCTATGATGCTTACCTTCCCACTTTCTAAGCATTACTAAATGCACAAATATTGCATCTAGTTATAGGCATACACTAGCAACTATGCCAACAACCAAGACAAAAAAGTCTTAAGTTCACATGACATAATTATCACCTAGCCTACCTAGCATGCACCAAAGTCTATACCTAGTTTATAAAGTATAACTTTGCTTGTGGTAGTCACCATGTCTCCAATTGTTGTCAACACATGATTCATAATTACTCACAAATGTATGAGCCAAACACAACACAACAAGCCCATCAATATTGGACACAACAATCCTTGCAGCAAGCTTCCTCTGAACCCCTTGCAATGGAGCGCCTAGCACCACTTCTCTTACAGATGCAATCTTTAGCAAAAGAGTATGTCTGTACTCTACACAAAATCGGCATTCACATAACAAAGTGCAAAAAAATGGAAGTCAGGCAAAAAAAATCAACAGATAAATGCATAAAATTGGAATGTATAAGAAAAAGGAACGCCTGAAAGACGATAATCAAGTAGAATAGAATCTAAAGCAACCCAAATAAAGTGAGACAATGTTGGGTTTTACACCAATGGACCAAGCAGTCAAAGAAGGGTTTCATACCAGTGAACCAAGCAGTCCAAGAAGCTAAAGTTATATGGAAACAATCCAATCTTGTCTATCAATCTAAGTGCATAGTAAAACGCAAAAACTTTGAAAAGAATGCTACCAAATTAGAAAAAACACCGCGACGATTATTATCCATTGCCTTGATGGGCTTTAACAACATATAAATGTTTTGAAAACATATATCCATGGCAGTGGCAATGTTTTGAAATATGGATGTTGTTCCTTTGAACGGTCTAGATTAAAGGAGAAGATTGGAAGGGAGAGAATCCGATTCCCTCTTTTTGGAATTTGGATGCCGGATGGTTCCAATTTGGGAATTTTATTATTAACTCGGGTAGCCTAGTTCTTTCCTATATTCCAAATTTCCACCCTCTCTTCTCCTCGTTATGCCACTTTGTGTAGTTCTTGTAGCTTACATTCACTCTTGCACTTGATTGAGGTCTTCTGTTCGAATTGGCCCTCGGGTCCCCAATATTCACTTGTATTGAAGAAAAACTGCAAACCTTGCTCTTTTTCCCTTTTTATTAAGTGAATATTCACTTGTCAAAAAATAAAAAGGAAAATTAATGAAAAATGTTTGAAAACTTTAAGTTTTAACGATAAGGACAAAATAAAGGAGAAAGTGAATAGTAACAGCATTGACTTTTTAATGTAAAATGTGGTTTTTCGTTAAAGTGAACAGTACCGAGAGCTTTTCGTTTAAGTTCCTAAAAATAAATCCACTTTAGCACCCAACCCCACAAAGTTCTTTTGACTCCATAAGTTGCAAGTTTACGAAATTTTCAGTCATGACATCAACAGCAAATGGAAAACTGCAGAGGATGCCTTTCCTTCACACCAAAATTATACTTTTATTTGGGATTTTAAGGACTCAAATTACAAAGAACATATTAAGGCTAACATACGCAGTCATCCAGATTTGTTTCATAATTATGCCAATGTAAATTCCCCATATTACAAATCGCAGAACAAAACATTCTGCAACCCCCCCACTTATCCAAAACCCAAGAATTTACCAATCTAATCCCCGAAATCCAACCCGATTTCGACCCTCCTAGTTACACAAAATAACCCTTGTGACAATGATCACAAAGCAAGACACAGTGAAGAAAAACAGTGTCACAAAATCCCTCGCATTCCACTTCCTTACTGCCTTCGCTTCGACTCTCAAGCTCTTGGCCCTCCTCAGCGCGTCCACCTCCTTTAACAAATCGAACTCCAACCCTTTCTTCTTCAGCTCCTCGATGCACTTTCCCAGAAGATTCTTATCCTCTTTCTCTCTCTCCAACAACTTCTCCAGGTGCCCCTCCGTGTCGGTTTTATACCTAATCGCCCAAATGATCCCCAGTGAGAAGCAGAGCGAGCAGAGCGAAGGGATCCAGGACCGGCGGCATGCGAACCCGCGCGGGTCCCACGATGAGGAACTGAAAAGAAGGGTGAGGGCCGTGGAGTGGAAGAGGAAGAAGATAATGAAAAGAATCGTGATTTCCTTTCGAACCGAGTCGATTTGGGATTCTTTGAGAGAGACCCTGTTGAGATTTAGCTCTTCTTCTTTCAGCCATTGCTTCAGGAGAAGCTTGTGGCTCGGCGACTGAGCGATTTGGTGAAGTGGGTGTGAGGGCTTTGGCTCCATGATCGATTGGTTTGTTCTCCCGTCGGCCATGGAGTTTTGTATCAGAGAAGGGGAGTGAGGGTTTGAGGGGTGAGTCGTGAGTGGGATTTTGAAACGGCCGCGAGGGCTTCGAGTGTTATAACGGTCCAATTTGGAATAATTTCACAGTAGATTACCGGAAATACCCCTATCATATGCGGGTATTGACGAGATCGCGAGCTTTTGTAACGGCTAGGATGGTTCCAGATCATCAGATCTGTACGGGGAAATTTCTTGTTTGTCCCCTGAACTGGCACGCTCCAACGGTCATGATGATTTAAATAAGTGCCAAAATATTCATTGCACTTTGAATTTTGGAGTTTTATAATTTACCCTATTTTTTAATTTCTATTTTGTTTACCTTCTAGAAAATAGGTTTTCTATTTTAACAACAACAAAAAAAAATGGTTATGATTTTATTTACGCTTTAATATTTATAAATAACTGCTAAATTTCTGTCCAAATTTTCTCTAAGCTAAGCTACAAAAGTTACACATCACAACCTTTTTAATGTAATTGTGTATAAAATTGGACATTCATAAAAAATTAACCGCACAAAATTTGAATTAAAGACCAAAAGATAGATAAAAAAAATTTAGGGGTATTTAAAGAAAAAAAGTTCAAAAAGTTTTCAATAATTTCCCATCATTCATTTTTGCTACAAATAGTTTTTCAAAAAAACAAAAAGAATTACTTGTTACATATATATTTATTATTTGAAAGCAAATAATAAATTTGCTTTTGCATGATATATGTTATATCAAACCCCATGGCTGACAACCGATGATCACAACCGTCCAGGCCTTCGATCTCCTAAAGCAACGGTGGCGGTCATCTCACCTTGACCGATTATATGCAGTAGTCTCTTGAAACCGGAGATAAACCAAGTTGCTGTCCTCTTGCTCGCGACCGAAGGCAGCTAATGCATGAAAAGTCTTCACTTTCTCAACGAGTAAAAAGACATAAAGTGATACCGAAAGAAGTAGAGCAAGAATAAATATAACCTTAGATGTATTGAAGAAAATGATATGGGCAGCCAATGACAAATTACACATTTTAGGACCCTTAAACCCTTTTGCTAGGAGAGAGAAATTCTTGTGTCCAACCAGTTGAATGCGACCAACACAAAAGTTTGCAGATGGGTTAGCCCTACTTGCAGGGGGTGGGGAGGGAGGGATTTTTGGGTCTAGATCGGAGGATTATGTTCTTCCGACCGGCCATCGGAACTTAGAGAAATAGATGGTTGCATACTTGCATGAGAGAAGCTATATAATGGAAAAGAAATCCTAAAAAACTTTGAAGGCAACAAAAGTGTGAGGTTGGACTGTTTGTTAGTGTCAGGCATTGATTTAAGGGAGTGACTTGTGGTCACACAATTGAGTTTAAAACTGTCATAATTAAGTTTAAAACTTTAATTATTAGCCTAATTTGAAGCTCTAATAGCATCTTCAAAGAAGATGCTAAATTGAAACATAAAATTTAAACTTAAAAAGTCTATGTGGCACTTGATCTTTTTTAAAGTTTTGTTCTTCGCTCTATATGTTAAATTTAACTATTATTTATTGCATTATTTACTTTTTATAATCGTGATAAAAAGTATTTATTAATCAATCAAAAATGGATTTGAAGTTGCTGTCAAATTTGACTACAACCATCTTTACTGCCAATCCACGTTATACCATATAAGAATTGGCATTTCGATTGGAAAACACTAATGTTGTCTTTTTTTAACTAAAATTGCTGATTTGAACTTTTTGACATCTCATTTAGAGTGCTCTAAGGCCGCTCATTAATTCATGGCTTTTATTTGGTGGATTGTCAATTTTTGTGAAAGTAACTCATCATACAAACCAGAATTCCAACTTTCTTTAAGGAAAGCAAATAAAGAAGTTACAGAGTTACCGCATTTCCAATCCTCGTTTGCATGAAAAGTGCAGGGATTCCTATTGGCGCTCAAAAAAATCTCACGTACACCTCTTCAGTAAACGCTAGTTCAGAATCTGGGTCTAGGTCTTCTAACATGGGAGTGGATTAGTGCAAATATGTTTCATAAAACGGATAATGCTGTGAACATCCGTGAGTTCTTCGCCAAAACTTTATTGTTTATTCATGATCATACTACAACCTGCACCATGTACACATCTAAGCATTTTCCATGTACTTGGTATCCACAAGCATCCTGTCTTACCTTTGAGTTTATTTACTCTGTCTTCGTCCACGCTATATTTACACCTTATAAAGCATTCCCACTTCGATCAGTGAGGCATGCGGAATTCCAAGTGCAATTGCTGGACGCCTGCAATTCCGTCTCAGAAAACCATAGACAATGTCAATTGCAAACTTCTTCAGGAACGGTGATACCTCACTCGCCACAACATAAGGATTCCCCATCATGTAGGCCACTCCACCAGCTTCCCGTGCCTCCATGAGTTTTTTCATCCACTGCTCGCCACTGCCAATTTCATCTCTCCACTGCTCGTTACTGCCGCCACTAACTTCATCACTCCAACGCACAGCACTGCCGCCACAAACCTCATTTCGAGTTGCTTCATATGTTTGGTTCGGTGACTGCCCTCTAACCGCCATTTCGTCACTGTTACTCTCCTGTTTCAAGAACTCTGCCACCTTCTCGACCAGTTGGGTTTCAAAGTTGTAGAAATCTCTCACATCCTTGTATCCATACCTGACCAATAATAGCATCAGAGAAGTTCGGAGCTACATATTTGTGCAAAAATTCAATGAAATTTGGCTTCATACCAAAGAAACTTTGTGGAAAGTACCTTACAATACACCGGAAAATAGACAGCTCTGGTGGGCCAATCCGGTTAACAAGAAAACGCTCACCAACAGGAACTTTTGGAATCATCAGAGACTTAAGGGTCACAAAGATGAGAGTGTGATGAAATGCAGGGAAGTTTGTGACAAAATGTGCAAACATTGGAGGGAGACCAAACGCAACGTTAGAGTAAACTAAGCAGATTCCAGGGACCCTTGCAATACCTAGGCTTGGCCCAATGCTTAGAAGTCTATCTAACGATACCTTGTTATCTAGCTCATATGCATCCTTCTTTACAGTCCCATAATTCCAGATAGACATCAAAGACACTATTAGAAGAGCGAATAGAAGGGGAAGCCAGCCTCCGTGATGTACTTTTCCAAGGCAGGCGGAGATATAGAGTAGTTCAAGGGATCCAAAGGTTACAAGAAACAAAAAGGCCACGAGAACCTTCTGCTTCCAAACTGTACTAATAATTAGAAACATCAAGCAGGTTGTGATGAACATCACTGTCACTCCAGCAAGCCCTGTAAATGCAAATGCTGTAGAACCGCTTATTTCAAAATTGCACATATGCACAAAGACAGAGAGAGAGAGAGAGAGAGAGAGAGAGAGAGAGAGAGCACAGACCGTATGCATGGCCTATCATACGAGTGTCTCTGAAACCTATAACGACGGCAAGACACAATACCATCAACATCCAGTTCACCTCAGGTATGTATATCTGCCCATGTATCTGATTTGATGTATGTTTGATCTTCACACGCGGGAAGCACTGAAGGGCCCTGCACTGACTGACTATTGAGAAGGTAGCTGAAATGATTGCTTGACTTCCCACCACAGAAGCAAGAGTTGCAATAATAAAGACTGGCCAAAACATAACCTCTGAATGGAAAGAAAATATTTTAGAGAAAATATCAGATCAAATTCAAAACCGGTAGCATCTGATGAAATAAAATTAAATTAAAAGTCTAAAACTGATACAGGCATTCACGGAGATTGAAGTTTCTAAAGATGCAGGTTAGATAGATGTCTTTCTTGTACATTTGTTCAAATGAAAATGCAGATAACATGTAGCAGATAAAAGCAAATAATATAATGAACACTAAAAATAATGGCCGTATACTTTGAAAACTGCTATAATGAAGAATAATGGCATGCCTAAAGTGCAAGTTAAACTTGGTCGAAATCATTTGAGTTCCTAATAAGAAGAATGACGTTACGTTAAACAACTAGTTGTTGTAACATTGCATCAATAAGAATATAAGAGCTTTACCAGGAATGGCCATGTAAAAACTGCTATGCAGATCCGTTTTGTGCTTGGAGAGATAAGCAGCTTCTCCCATGTATGCCAGAACTAAGCAAGGGTAAACGAGCGCTGTAAATGCAAACTGCAAGACGAAAGAACTAGTAGTAAATAAATATATAAAATAATAAAAATGTAAAGTAAATAACATATGAAGCCCAAAGAGAAAAGAAAGCTACATAGTTAGCAACATGTGACACTAATAGAAACAAGCATGATAAATTGTGTTTCTTCTCGACTATAAAACTACCGAGGATTACGATACAAAAAAAAGTATTTTGAACAGCCAAAAACAGAACCATAAAAGTACTGAGCAGTTTTCTGCTTCAAAGAGCAAAATTAAAGGTTGAGAATAAGCTACCCTGATTGACAGTTTCGAAAAGTGCCCAAGATCAGCGAACATTGCTTCTGTACCTGTCATGGCCAAATAATGTCTTAGCCTAACAAAGAAGATAAAGTTTTCCAGGCGACTGCAGAAGTTGTTGGAAATTTTTCCTACAAACCAACCTGTGATACAAAGAACAATGCCTCCAAGGGAACTCCAGCCAACTCTTCCAGTTATTTTAAAGAAGTTATAAATATAGTAGGGCGACAGAGCACGTATAACACCAGGGTTCCAACGGAAGATGTTGTAAATGCCTACCCCACAAATGCATAGTAACCATGTTAACATGATTGGAGCAAAAAGAAACCCAACTTTGTGTGTCCCGAAGTGCTGAAGAGCAAAAAGTCCAACCAAGATGATGCACGCTATCAGCACAGTATAATCTGCCATGTACAGACGTAAAAGTAATTAGAAAAGGTAGTTTTCCATGGAAATTGAATAGAAAAAAGTGTATTGCATGATATCAGACAACAAATAATGCTGCACTATATCCATTACCTCAACTCCATGTATTGCCAGTGAAAATCAGTATGTAAGAATACACATATATATATATGTATATACACATTTATGATTAACTTACTCTCATGTAAATCTGGAGCTTTGATTCTAATTCCATAAACTGCAGAAAGAACTGCCAACATACATAAAAAAAAACCTCATTAGGTCAACATCAGTAATTGCAGAAAGGGTCAATCAGTAGGGCCAGAGAGAGCATTTAAGAATATCATACCGGACATTGTTGGCGTGAGGATACCATCACCAATTATCATGCCAACTCCTATAAAAACTACAAGCAGCAATACTATTTTAGAACTCTTATGCTTCTCAAAGAATTTTCTTATGAGTGAGCTCATTCGTGTATCCTTGGTAGATAAAACAGAAGAGTACGATGGTATGTGTTCATGTTCAAGATGAACTGTGTTCAAAAGGCCCATCCTTGAGTGTCGGCATAGCAATGAGTACAAGGCAAAAGTTCCACCTGTAAAACTAAAAGTGAATCTCTAATGTCCGACAACTATCAACCAAAATATATTCTCAAAAAATGCTATAAGATAACTGAGGTTACTGTAAGCACCTTCACCATTGTCATCTGCTCCTAACACAAATATAATGTACTTGCAAAGAGGGATAATTGTCAAAGTCCAGAAAACCATTGAAAGCACGCCAAGAATCTCGTGATCCTCCTCATAAAGACGCATATCACCTGAGAATGTACTTTTGTATACGTAAATGGGGGATATGCTAAGGTCCCCATAAACAATACCAAGGCTCTGATAAGCAAGGCATAGAGTGGTCTTGTAAAAATTCTGCTCATAAACAAGTAAGACAAGTGTTATTATGCTTACAAATTATAACATAAATTGAATTCTGCTACAAATATAACCAAGCAGGAACAGTGGAAAAAACAAAAAGAAAATGAAAAAACATAATTAGGACAAAACTTGCCCGCTGTAATGAGTTAAACCATACCGCGACCATGATTATAGTTAAAATCACTAGGCCTACAATAATTGTCGATGTCAAAATCAGCCTGAACTATTTTGGAGTTTGGGCATTGAGTTCTTCTCACATCCTCTGTCCTCAATGCAAGATTGATGATGATCATACAAGAGGATCTCTCAGAAATGAAGCAGTAGTACAGTAACTAGTAAATTAACATGGAAAATAAAGGTAGATTGAATTAGAGAATTTAACGACGAAAACGCTGAAAATTCTAGTCTGTACAGCACCAGTGGAAGACAATCAGGAAGCAAGAAGAATATTATCTTGAAATAGCTCAAACTTAAATGCCTTGATACAATGTATCTTAAGAAAATAAATATAATCAGGATCAAATTTAACAGTTCAAAACCCGAATCGGGTGAAGTGACCAAATAAATGGAAAGTCAGAAAATCTATATTACACTTAGAAGTAACATGAAAAATGGAAAATGCCACCGATTGCAACACAAATAAGAAATGTCAAGTCAGATTCTTCCAACAAGAATACAAAATTGTATGAGATATACTCGGTCTAAGTCCATAAGATCCATACACAGTCGTACACCAAAAAGCAATAAAAATAAATATAAATAAAAATAAAGAAAGAGATTCCATAGGCCACACCAACTTAAATTATAAAACTTCAGAAAACAAAAATGCATCTTCTGTTTGGTTGCTGAGAAAATTCCGGAAGAAAACAGTCAAACTCATTGCAAAGACTGAGAGAGCATTCATTAGGAATCAAAAACAACAAAATCCCATTTTCCAGAAACCAAAAATAGTATTAAAAATACTCAAAACTTCACTCTTTACATTTCCTCTATTCCTTACTCAATTTACCTGGAAACAAACACAAAAGGAAAGAAAACAAAAGAATGAACACACACAGCAACATAACCAAACGCTCACCGGCCGCAAGCCTCCGGAAAGGGAAGCCGATTCCGGGTCCATTTTCCTTTCCAGTCGGACCCTAAATGCTATGAATCAATGTGAAGTCCAACAGACTAGTCTTCCGCCAACAAAGCTTTTTATACTGAAGTGGGGTTTTCTGAATTAATGGTGAAAAGGAAGGGCACCCAAAAAGGACACAGTGAAAGGTGAAAAGCAGAAGTTAAAGATCCAGACTTTTGAAGTGAAATTTATGGTGAAAGAAAGAACCCAGTTTTGGCAAAAAGCGAATAAACCGAAAGAGAAAGAGGGAGGGAAAGAGGCGAAAGGCAGTTGTTATAAAGACTCGAGCTTTCGAGGAGGGATCGCTACGTGCACAAGTTACACTTACAACGTGTCGAGAGAAAAGCGTCCTCGTGGCTTTTCTTATTTTTAGACCTCTTGCTAAAGGTGGTCGATCTCTGTATTTTTGTGAAGTACATATATTTTTGGTTGTCTGACTCAACAATTTACTACTCTCCCTTGATTTGTTCGATACTTAATTTCGGTAAAAGTTTTAAGTTCGATTTTTACTTACGTAAGGTTTTTCACGTGATTAAGGCAAATTTAACTAGATGAATTTCACACACATAGTGTGAGTAAATATACAAAATTAAAATATATATATATGAAAGAGAAAAATTGGAGAGAAATGTGAAAGAGAGAAGACGAGAGAGGGATCGTGTGAGTGCCATAATTTTCTTTTTCTTCAAAACTTTTTTGTATGAGATTAATTTAATGCTCGTGATTTTCTTTTTATATTTTCTTTTAATTATACATAAAACTGTATAATGATATTTTTCTTGATTTTCAGTTAATAAAGAGTGTTCTATTAATAGGTCGTATAGAATCTTATATATAGGAATATTGCACATTAAGTTTAAGTTTGAGACTCACCGAATTTCTACTATTTTATTTTTAGAATAAGGATATTCTAATTTAAGAAGTGAAAGATTAGGCTAGGCCAACTAATGTCATCCAATAACTATGTCGAATTCAACACAAATAAATATAATATGTTACTTTCGATTCATATAAGTTGAACATGAAAACTCTCACCATCCAAAGTGAAAGGACTAGATACACTCTTTACACATCTTATTGTTTTGTGTAAGAAGAAAAAACTTAAGTATAAAATCCAACAAGAGTTTCATTCCACCGAGGTGGGGGAAGGAAACCATATATAAACGAACAACATTCTATTATGTTCATTTTTTTTCTGTTTTGTAATTTTTGTTTTGTTATATTATCTCGTACGGCTGTCAAAATTAATAGATACTCATGTACGGCAATATGCATTAATTAAGTGATATATGACGGAATCACATCAAGTGACCCAATGATAAGGTGCGGATTTCGGATACTACAATACAAAAAAAAAAAAAGGAGATCCCGTGTTCGAGGCTCCAAGTTGGCTTTGGAAGTGATATATGATGGAAAGTGTACGCTTAAATCTCTATTGAAAGTATAATAAGCTATGGCAAGTATCAATCGTAGCCCTCCTTTCTACTACTTGGTATCCTGAGAGACGGCCGGGCAACTACTTTCTCTGCATTGGAATATCAGATGGAGAGGGAGAGCTTGAAGACTCCAAAGCTAGTGAACTATGGCGCCGTAAAAAACTAAAAATTATTTTGCAAAAGATGGGAGAAGTCAGTTTACCTTTTTTCTTTGTCTTCCTTTAATTTTCTGTCACATGTGTTATCATTTTTGGTATATTTTGATAAGCATTTTAAGTCCCAATATGCCCCAGAACTTACATCACCGATGTTGTTCTTGACGTAACTACATATTAATAGGACAGGAGTTCTACTAACAAATATTAATGGATGGTGAACTTTCCACAATAAACTGTTTATTATTTTGTTATATCTTTGATGTGGAATTTTGTTTACTGTTACATATATCATCTGTCTTATGTTACGTAACAAACCAAAATTATTTAACTTTATAAACACAAAATAATCAACTGGGGATTAGTCCTACCCTTAGGGTGTATGATACTTCATACTTCAACAAAAAAATAAATAAACACAATATATTCTGTAGCGTAGCATGTGGGGCAGATAAGAAGGTCCATCACTTCCTAAATTTTGTTCCAACAATGCAATGCATGGGCTAAGCAAATCATCTTAAGTACACAATTGGACGAAATGTTTGCTTACCTTCTTTTTGTTAAAGCAGTGGCAAACACAGAGTGTATCAAGTTTTTGACCAACAAAATTTAGTTTGGCTCAATTTCAGTACAAATGCTGACATTATCAATAGAAAATTCATCGTAATTCGTCAAACAAAAAATCAAACTTGAATACAAATAAAAAAAATACGTTGTTGGAGCAAATTTGACTAAACCTACCATAAAAAGCTTTGCATGTCACGTATGTAAAACGTCAATGTGGTTTGCATGGTCTCTCATTGCATGGGGTGGGGGCTTTCAAATGAAAGTTTTACACATAAGTCAAATGGTTCACATTACCATATCTTACTGCCGACCTACATGAAATAAGCAAAAGTAAGGTGTACACCATTTGAAGTCATTGGATACTGTAATTAATCTATGTTTAATTTTTGTAGTTTGTACAATTAGGCATGTCGACTGCAATTTCCATCGTTTTCTGGTTGGATTTCCTTGTGATCTTGGAAGGTCGATTAAGAAAGCTTAATTTTCTTTGCTAATAAATATTGACTTAATTTGGAAATATAGAATTAGACAAATTATTGAGCATGCATACTTTGATTTTTGGAAAAATAACATGATGTAGCTTTTCGCCCAATGAGGTTTGATTTTTACATGTTTACACCTAAGGTCTCATTGGGTTTGCTGACTTGGAAGGAAAAGCAAGACAGTTCATAGAAACAAATGCAAAAAACTATGATAGTTATCTTTACGTGTTTGGAGAAAATTAACGTTCGACTCATATTGACTAGAACTCAATAACAATATATATCTTATTAACAAGTTCAGTACCTTTACAGGTGGTTTCATTGTAGTAGCGTAGACTTTATCATGGTTATGTTGGCCGTTGCAAAAGAAAACTATACTTCATTTAAGAACTTTTTAGTATGTTAAAAACCTACAAGGTACATTATACTTCATAGTTTTTAACTGTTGGATATTTAATTAAAATATAATAACTAAGATTAAACGGAGCTTAATATAATTTGATTCGATTGAGAAATCCAAATTTTGCTTCTTTTTGTGATTAATTTACAAATTTTTAAAAATCTTTTTGGCACCTTTTGCAAATTTGTTGACCAATAAGTGATCTCTGCAGGGTAAATACCATGAAAATTGAACCTAAGTTAACTGGATTTCAAACTTGGCAGTTGAAGTAAACCACAAGAGACAAGACTCCAATCCGCATAAAACAAAGAGGAATTATTATGGGATTTGGACAGATGGGAAAAATACTTGAATTTATGGGATTTTGGTGGCCATCGTAACTGCAGCCTTCTGATTTGGTACACTGCCAACCTTTTAGACTTCATTTAGGATACATTGTCCCTTTTGGTTGTCAAGTTAATAAATTGGATGAGAAGTAGATTATTTGACTCGTCTTCCTTTAATTTAACCATGAATTTATGACTAGTTCAGGCTGAGATTTCTTTTTAGGGAAAATGTTCTATAGCAGCCAATATCTGATTTTAGTGGCATGTACAGTCTAATAAATGGTTGTCACGTTTAAAAGTTGTACTACTTGTTCAATAGATATTTATCATGTGGTGTTTTTTATTACACTATTTTTTTCGTGCAAAACGGTAATCAGAATAACTAATTATTATTACAATTTAATGGTATTCTTCTTCAGTAATAAATTAAAAGTATCATGTTTGACTTACATGAATGATGAAAATATATTATATATGTATTTTGTTAGATACCTAATTTATAAATGATTCATTATGTCACTTAGCTCACCGCTTATTTTATTTTATTTTTTAGAGAATGTTATTAACATTCCTAAAATTTCATTTGGCACTCCAAACTTTCTATAATTAAAAAAAAAGGGTAAATTACATAGTAGCCCCTCAGGTTTGAGGTCTATTGCAATCTTATACAACATCTTTAAAACATGTCACTTTCATACCTCAAGTACTATTTTATTTCAATTTCATACAACCGTTAGATTTTCCATTCATGGATCTGTTAAATGCTGACGTGGCTGCCAAATGTCTGCCACGTGGCAAATAAAATAATTTTTTTAATTTTTTTTTTAAAACCTGAAATTGGAAGAAGAAAAAAAAAAGAAAGAAAGTGACCGAACCCAGAAGAAGAAGAGAAGAAGAAAGAGAAGAGGAGGGGAGAGAGAAAGAAGAAGAAGAAGAAAAAAAAAAAAAAGAAAAAAAAAAAAAGAAAAGGGGGAAGGAAGGAAGGAAGGAAGAAGGAATCCGAACCGAAGAGAAGGAGGAAGAAGGAAGGAAGAAGAAGAAGGAGGAGGAGGAGGAAGAAAAGAAAGAAGAAGAAAGAAGAAAAAAAAAGACCGAACCCAGAAAAAGAGGAAGAAGAAGAAGAAGAGAGAGAAGAAAGAGAGGAGGAAGAAGAAGAAGAGAAGAAGAAGAAGAAAAAAAAAAGAAAAAGGACCGAACCCAGAAGAAAAGAAAAGAAGAAGAAGAAGAAGAAGAAGAAGAAGAAAGAAGAAAGAGGAAAAGAAGAAGAATAAGAGAAGAAGAAAGAGGAGGGAGGAGAAAGAAAGAAGAAGAAAAAAAAAAAAAAGAAAAAAAAAAAAAAAAAAAAAAAAGGGGTCCGAACCCAGAAGAAGGAGGAAGAAGAAGAAAGAGGAGGAGGAGGAGGAGGAAGAAGAAAAAAAAAAAAAAAGGGGACCGAACCCAGAAAAGGAGGAAGAAGAAGAAGAGAAGAAGAAAGAGGAGGAGGATGAGGAAGAAGAAGAAAAAAAAAAAAAAAGAAAGGGACAGAACCCAGAAGAAGAAGGAGGAAGAAGAAGAAGAGAAGAAGAAAGAGGAGGAGGAGGAGGAGAAGAAGAAGAAGGAAAAAAAAAAAAAAAAAGCGAAAAAAAAAAAGGGTCCGAACCCAGAAGAAGAAGAAAGCGAAAGAGAAGAAGAAGAAGAAGAAGAATAAGAAGAAAGAATAAGAGAAGAAGAATAAGAAGAAAGAATAAGTGGCAGATATGTTTTTTTTTTTTAATTAAAAAAATATTTTATTTGCCACGTGACAGACATTTGGCAGCCACGCATTATATATGTGGCAGCCACGTCAGCATTTAACAGATCCATTGATGGAAAATCTAACGGTTGTATGAATGAGGTATGAAAGTGAAATGTTTTAAAGATGTTGTATAAGATTGCAATAGACCTCA